AAAATTCCAGATGAAAAAAAGTAAAATTAAAGAAATTATATTTTTCTATTATGATCTGTCGAGCCGTGTAATCTCGTAAAGGAAACCGACACGCTTGACTGACTGCGAGCGAGATAACATGGGCGCAGCAATGACGTAGACCTAGGCGTAGGACCATCTATACTGTCACTTGTAGAATCGAAACTTACTGACTCTTGTAGAAAATTTACTGTACATCAAACACAAATGAAACATAAACACGATTGGCTACGAAAATTGAGTAAAGTCTACACGTAATCAAAATTTCACACTTTCTCACCTTCACTCTTTCTCCCCTATTTTCTTTTTACTACTCCCTTTGATCTACCCGTATCTTCTTTCTTCTATGGCATTATACTTGTAACACTCTCCACTGTCCCCTACTCTCGTTCATTCTTTTCTATTTTTCCCGATTCCACTTTTCTTGTTTCCTTTCTACTTCTCTCCTTTTTCTCCCCTTTTCAGTCAAGTTGCCTTCCCTATTCTTGTATTATTTTAATGTACTGCATCTTGTAGCTACATATAGATCCATTCCAAAATTTTTCAAGTTTCATAGGCTAAAATTAAATTCGAATGGAAACAAGATCTTTGAATATTTTTTGCTCAATATCAATCCCAGAAATTCAGAAAATTTTATTCTTGTAACGCTCTCTATTCTAAGTATTAATTATGCAAGGCACAGTTATTATAAATTAAATGAAACAAAGTAGACAACATTTTTTGAAGGAACCAAATTTTTATTTTATAAAGCTTATATTTTAGGAACGTGTCATTCTTCCCATTTTGGTTTTTTAACATATTTGAAATTCCACGTCACCAGAAGAGAACATTTAAACATGGTTTTTTTCAGGTGAGACGTGAATCTTTCACTTTTTAACATATTAAAAGTCTCACGTCTCACCTAGAAAAAAAACTATTTAAATTTTCTCCTCAGGTGACTCAGTACTTAAAAAAAAAAAACAAATCTCTCTTTTACATATCCTTAAATGTACGCGGAATTTCAAATTATTTTCTCAGTTCTTAGAAAAGAAAAAAAGAAAAGAAAAGAAAGAAGATCGTTAAAAGACTATTCCCCGTGATAAAACCTAAATATGCAGCTCGCAAAAGTTTTGTACATACCGTATTTATGCACGTACAATAAAGATTTTTATGAATAGTTCCGTACATACGTACATATATACACATCCATATTTCTCAAAGGATTAATCAGAAACTTGGAATAGTTTTACGATAATACCGGTACGCTCTGTATTTTCCACCTTCTCGCCCGTCTCGTCTTCATTTTCCCTCGTCTCTGTCCTCTTTTCATTGTGTTCGCCGTGTCGTCGAGTGCCAGCTGCCGGTTTACAAGCTTCAACCTCCTCCGGCACAGTATCAGCGTAGGCCGCGTCTAATTTCGCGAACGTGCTCGATTAGTTGTCTCATGGCAGCTCGTGTCCCGTATACCCGTATCCCGCGTCGATCCCGCGGCGTGGATAACGTTTACGGAATTCCGTTTACCCCTCGCTAACGAGGGAGTTGCTTGTTACGAGTAGTTACTGCGTGATAGAGAGAGAGGGAGATTCCACGGAACACTTCTTGCCGCTCGACGCGCCTACTTAATCGGGAGGCAGTCACGCGACAACATCTACAGGGAAAATTCGTGAATCAAGTGCGTATGTTAGGGGCTGGTGCATTTAGCCTGTCGAGAAACGCGATCGAAGCACGAGAAAAGGGGGTCGAGGAGAATGAGACCGCTGCGAGCAGTCTGCATGCACTCGTTACACTTACGTACGATGACGGTCGCTATCGCTTTCCGAGTGACAAATTATATCGTGAAACGATATTTCTAGTTGGAATTTCTGTGTACTTTGTTGTTCATTCTTTCTTTGTGTTATCTGGTATTCCTTATGTGTAGGTATAGGCTTTGGAGAGATGGTCAGTCATTTTTGAAGGGTGGTTCTTTCGGTGGTTAATTATTCGAGCAATTAGTGGATTGATTATAATTTTTTTCGTTATAGAGGATGTGATTTTAAAGGATCTTCGTGGATTTTTTGTGTAGTTTATTGTTCCTTTGATTCGATGTTCGTTTAATCCCAACGCTATGAAGGTTTTGGAAAACTGGTGGCTTATTTTCGAAAGGTGGTTCTTTCGGTGGTTAATTATTCGAGTAATTAGTGGATTGATTATATTTTTTTTGTTATAGAGGATGTGATTTTAAAGAATCTTCGTGGATTTTCTGTGTAGTTTATTGTTCCTTTGATTCGATGTTCGTTTAATCCCATTGCTACGAAGGTTTTGTAAAAATGGTCACTCATTTAGGAAGGGTGGTTCGCCTAACGTGACTACCTCAATTATTTTAATTAATAATAGATGGATTAAAATTTTTGTTGTTGTAAAGGATATGGTTTTGAAGGATCTTCAAGATGATCACCTTAGATTTTTTCTTCTTCTTTAAATAGGGTTTTAAGGTCTCGTTCATTTCTTTTATGTATAATTTCATATACTATATTGAAATTGTTGAATTCGTATCAATAATCGCTAGCTAATAGGCAAAAGAAGCTATAGGGTTATAACGAAAGATTTTTTGTTAAAATTATAGGCTAATAACGAAAATAATAACCACTCTGTACATACACTTATTCAATATATCCAATTTATTACATTTATTTCTACGTTTCACGAATGAGATATTGTAGTATATGAAGTGTCACAAGGATCTAAAGATACTCTTCGGTATAAAAAATATGCTGAACAGATGCGCCACTTGAAAAACTCGTATAATATTATACAGTGTACACGTAATCCAGCGTAAATCAGTATTATCCACTTTGTCACCTATACTCTGCGAATCTAGAAGCTAATCCAGGGGTTCAATATCTGTTATGGTCATTGACTGTGTGCAATACCTATGTCACGAGCTTATAGTACGTCAATCAGAGTGAAGGCATAAGTAGTACGTAAACAGAACCGTGGGAAGTTTTACGGTGATTAAATGATTCCTACAACCTTCACTCTTCGTTCAACTAGAAATACTGATTGATAAATTTTTTTCACTTTTTTTATACGAATTTCAAAAATTCGATTGAATAAACGTACAAATAAATATAACTAAAATTGAAAAAGATACTAATATAGTGAAATAATTAGAAACTAATCGATGAAAACTGACCATCGCAAACTTTCTTAAAACGTTTAAGAAAATGGTTCCCAGAAATCCATATAACGTATTATAACAGCGAAACAACTTTGTACTTTTATTATCATTGCTCTCAAAACTTATCACTACTCTATGCAATGAATTAAAAACTCTGGCACGAGCTTTCGAAGAAAGTTTTTAAGACCCAGAAAACTGTTCAAAAATTCTTCCCTATACTTCTCGCTCTCCTCTTCTCCTTCACATCCTCGAATCTTCGAGAACAAGGAAAAGCAAAAATAAAAAACACGTTATATGCAAAATTGAAAAAAATATATTGTACGTATTCATAATCCTGCATTATACTGTTACTGTTTGTTCAATGAAAATTAATTCCGGGCTCAGCACCCATGCGTAGACATGCGTGCTGAGCACCCATGTCAAAGGGTTACTCCAGATTTGCAAATCACACTGGTTCTCCTCAAATACGAAAAATCAAAGGAAAGAAAAATTGAAAACCCGATAAAAAACAAGAAGTTTGGTAATGTTTCAGGTTTACATCGTCGGCCATACACCACCGGGGGTGGACGATCGCGAGAGCGGCGCTCCAGTGCTGAGCGAGCGTCACAACCTCAGATACCTCCACGTGATCCGGCAGTCCTCGGACATCATTCGCGGTCAGTTCTTCGGTCACTGGCACTCGGACACTTTTCGCGTGATTTACAGCGATACTGGTACGTGTGTTTGTCCCTTCTTCCTAGCAGTAGGCTGGTGGTTAAACACGGTGAATCAAGCGAGGGCGGTTTGGATCGATGCGCAAGCAACAACCGTGTGCGGTTCGCCGAGTGATTGCTCTCTCTCTCTTTCTCTTTCTTTCTTTCTTTCCGCGTCGTAACCGCGATCGTAACTTACGTTTACTTCACGCTACATTTTGCTCGCTTTTGTGCCGGCCTAGTCGGTGCTTTTCTTCGCGGTTTGAACTTAACAACGCGGAATTTGTGCACGGAGACATTTAATCTTCGGTGCATCGAAATGGAAACGAAACTGACGTTCTCGTTCCTCTAGCCGCGATTTTCTCTGTTGCGCCGCGCCGTTCGCGAAACACCCCCGTCGATCGTGGAATATCGTTTCTGCGGAGAAGCCAGGAGGCTATTATATTCCTTCTTTTGCTCTCGTTTCTTTCTCTCTCTTTTTTTCTTCCTTTCTTCCTCTTCTCCACGGTGACTTTTTTCTCTTCTTATCGCGTTCCGTCTTTGTCGTCGGCGGACTCTCTGCAGCGGAAGCTCTCTCTCTCTCATTGGCGATTCAACGACGGCTCGAACTTCTTAGCGATGCAACACGTATTGGCCGAGTTCGAACGCGTCCCAGTTCGGGCACAAAGAAACGGAGGGAAGAGGAAAAAATGGCGCACCCCCGGTGGCTTTGTTATTAAACTTGAGCCGCGGATGCAGCCTGACAGTAAAATCTATAAAACGCATTAAGCGTCGAGCAGATAATTATTCCCGTGCAGTCTCCGTGACGTCAGTAATGTGCACGTCGATTGCTTAGTGTCTAACGAGAAACTAAACGAGCAATTTATCTGATGTTCTGCAGTTAATGATTTTAGGGGCTGGGGAACGAACGTTTCCGCCGTTTGCATGCATAATGTCGTGCAAGATTCCTCAGATACGTTGGATTTCTAGCTTCTCGCACAAACAACAAAGTTTCAGTTGCAATTTTTCATTTGAAATTATTCCAATTCCAGAAATTTATTTCACAAGCTTCTAAGGGAATTTTCCTATTTCGCGGTTTTCGCCTACTGGTTCGCCTGATTTCCAATATTCCTTCGGAACGCTAAATTTCTCGAATTCCTTCAAAATTCGTCAACTCTATTTCTGAAATTCCCTAAATCTTGCATTTTCCACTTGTTTATTTCTATCCTCGTTACTTGCTTAATCCTACTGCGCTCTCCGGGTCACTTTTGACCCAAGCGCCTTAAATTCGAACGGAAGAACGCACTGGGATTAAAAAATAGCTTACTTAACGATCTTCAAAATGACTTAATCCTGTCGAATACGCAGATACGAAAATTCCTTCCCTATTCGACGATCCCAACTTTTTTATTTCATTGAAAACTACTCCATTCTGGTGCCTCTATAAAAAGTCGATACGTTTAACAGTCACTTGCTGGTTTCTTGCATGACAACACGCTATGTACATATAACGCGTTCATAAAAATTACGAACACGTTACCATCGGAACAACTCACGCTCGAAAGCAGCAACATAATCGAAAGCTTCTCAGACTACGTGTCGTACGTACGATCGAATAACTGCTCGGGAAGTTTCTCGTCGGACGTTGAGAGAAGTGACTGCGAACGAGGGGAGGGCTCAATTTTATGACGCTGTACAGGTCCATCGGGTCGCGCGCAACTCATATTTTTCGCTGCGTTCCTTCGTTGAAATGCCCGGGACCGCGAACGATAATCGATAAATTCCCCGCGTGTGTCGTTCGCTAGCCAGAATACTTCCCAGCCGTTTTACAGGCCGTTTTATCGGTCACGCCACCGGCCTCGACGCGCTTTTAAAACCTTCCCACCCCCTCTTTTACGTCCACTTACATTAACATCATACTCGTTCGTCCCTACGAAAATACGCCTATGTACTGTGCAGAGAGGAGAAGTTTCATAGTAGATGGAATACAGGTCTGATTGGTTACATCTCGCGCAATCTTAAAGATGAAGCACGTGTGTTTTTGTCATTGGTCGAAACTGTCTCATCTATGAATTAGACAGAGAATTTGGTACGTCGAAGTAGAGTAGGATAGAGCAATAGCGAGATCGCTTTCATTGACTGTACTTAAAGATGAAGCACGTGTGTTTTTGTCATTGGTCGAAACTGTCTCATCTATGAATTAGACAAAGAATTTGGTACGTCGAAGTAGAGTAGGATAGAGCAATAGCGAGATCGCTTTCATTGACTGTACTTCGTTCAATTTTGACTGAGATTTAGGGTCCTCGTCGACTCAAGTTTCTCTCGAGTCGCTTGTCGATGCAAACTTTGACGCTTGAATGATTTTACGATATAACTGTATCGCTTCCATCGAGTATACTTCTCTTCTCAATGCGTGGAAAAACGGCGGAGAATTCAAGAAATAATGAATTTTGTAAAGATGTCAGCTCAAGTTTCTCTCGATACGCTTGCAAACTTTGATATAGCAAACTTTGACACCTACTGATTTTACGACCTTAGTGTGTCGCTTCCATCGAGTATACTTCTCTTCTCATCTCTGCACAATGCGTGAAAAAACGGCAGAGAATTCGGAAAATAATGAATTTCGTAACGATGTCAACTCAAGTTTCTCTCGATCCGCTTGCAAACTTTGATGTAGCAAACTTTGACACCTGACTGATCTTACGACCTCGCTGCATCGCTTCCACCGACTATACATATTTTCTCATCTCTATACACCGCGTGGAAAGACGGCAGAGAATTCGGAAAATAATGAATTTCGTAACGATGTCAACTCAAGTTTCTCTCGATTCGCTTGAAAACTTTGATACCTGACTGAATTTATAACCTCGTTGCTTCGCTTCCACCGACTATACATATTTTCTCATCTCTGCACAACGCGTGGAAAAAACTGGCAGAGAAATCGAAGGAATAATGATTTTTGTAACGATGTCAGCAGATTCCCCGGTATCCTGGATAATGATGGCGCCCAGTATATCGCCTAGCACGCTTGGAGGTCCTAACAATCCAGGTTTGAGACTGTACAAGTTCGAAACTAATACCGGTCAGGTAGGTGGAAACGTTGAATGCCACGCGGCGTCCATAATCTCCATCCGTCCGTGTGACGGGTTCTATTTATGCGACGTCTCGATTGAAAGAGCCGAGAATATATATAGGTAGCAACGACCCATCCTATCCTCTGTTCTGTCGTATTCAGGTGCTGGATTATACGCAGTACTATCTTAATCTACCGGACGCGAATTCAATCGGGACTCCGAACTGGTTGGTCGAGTACAATCTGCTCGAGTACTACGACCTTCAGGAAATCACCGCGATCTCGACCGACAAATTTTTCCATCTTATCCCTGAGTGTGATACGTGACCAAGATCGTATCGTGGACAGGGATCATCGATCATTCGAGTTTCCCGGTATTGACTACCCTTCTGACCCTCTCTGCTACTTTTACCGGTGGTCGCGCGTGCTATACACTTGCCTTGGGGAAAAATGAAACGTTATTTCGACCGTATTTTTACCCCTCTGGCGTTCACTATGTTTCTTCGTTTCTTTTCCCTTTTCTCTCTCTCTCTGCTGCGTGGTACGTGTGTTTGCTTTGATTTAATTGGTGTTTACGCATCGTGTAACTCAATATGTCGGAAGGAATTCCAGAATTGATTCGGCACTTGGAAGTAATGGAATTAGTTGGTAGAAATACGTTTGTTCAATTTGACGGGGGGATGTCGGATGTGAGTTTTGGAGGATTTTGTTTCTAGGTGAACATTGCAGAAAAATTTGAGGATTGTTTGATAAGTGAAGAGACTATTGGTTGGTGATAAAATGCGGTTTGTTCGATGAATCTCAAAATTTATTCTATCGCTTTACTGGGTTTTTTATGTCAGCTGCAAAGTATCTTTTGTCTTAAAGTCTGAGCCAGTTTTGGACATTTTTTGATTCCACAAGATTCCACTAATTTTTCTAATTTTTCTAATTTTTCAATTTATTTTTATTTAAAAGAAAGAAACAGTTGTCAAACAGTTGTTTTAAATTCATTACAGAGATATTAAGCCAGTTTGTGCTTTTGAATTTTGTCGTACTTCTTTAAATATTTTATAAATTAGAGCTCTTTGTCTCTTTACTTATTGTACGACGTTTAATTCATACAGAAGTATGTTACAGAAATGAGGAATTTTTCCGACGTTTCCAATATTTACGCATAGGTACGATTATAAATAGAAATCAAGCAGGTTAAAGGGGCTTTCCTACATTAATCTTTCGGGGAATTAAAAGAAATTCATTGCACGATTCTGCTTTCAAAGGATTCACCGATTTTTCAGCTGTAACGCGAATAATATTTTGCCTTGTGTGGGATATTCGATCGAGTAAAAATTAGCATCCGATTCTATCCGTATAAAATACAAAAGTAGAATTAAAATCGCGGAAAATTTAAATATCCCGCTTCTACTGAATACACAAGACGTAGATTTATTGTTAGAAGAATTGCGTTTCTTCTGTTCCCATTAAAAATTTTCAAGCAACTGTTAAAACTCAGATATCTCAAAAATGTTAAATTAAAAATTCCTAGATAAGATGGAGGCTTTAATAAATTCGAGAATCTCAGGAATTCTAGAGTATTCTCCACGACAGACTAAAGCACCCGCAATTTGTTAAAACTCGCTGAATTAAATGACATTTTTCACAAGCCTACAAAGCAATTCAAATTTACAAATAAACCTCAAATATTTAAAATTACGAAACAGTGTTTTCCTCAAGAAAATGGAAAATGCAAAGATGTTCACCTAAGGTAAATTCACAAATTAATTTCTTCCAATTTCGATAATGACAAATTAATCCAAAATACCTTCTCGTCAAACTTATCGAATAAAAAATCTGACCTCCATTCAAACAGCAAATTACATCAACTACGTCCATCTGCCAACTTCCAAAAATGAAATTTCACTTTCAATCATCGTACAACCGCGTTGCCCCTAATTGATACGAACACTTTTCCCCCGGTACAAATTACTCGCAAATCCATTAAGCCCACGCTCGGAATCTTGGAAACTTTGGAAAAACATTCATTTTCACCTGCAAGCCGGTAATTTAATTTCGTTGGAAAGCATTCAAGGCTGCTCATCCCTACGATAGCAATCGCGTGAAACCTGGTGCGCCACGCGAGAGACCTTGAAAACTCCTTCAGCCCCGGTACCGTACGTTGTTAACGGATGATTGACACAAATTGCTTGTGACAAAGTTACGCGGCCACGCAGCACCTGTACCAAGGGGGATCAGGGTTGGGAAAGTGGTCGAACACCGTCCGGTAACATTTGCATGATCCGATACGGCGATTGCGTGAGGGCTAGCCCAGCTCTATCTGACCGCCGGTGAGCCGAGTTGCGTCGCCTGCTGGATTAATAATTTCCATATTTCTCGAGCAATTATCCACCACGATAATTCCTCGAGCTGGTTGACGCTGATAACTGTCTACCCTTTTCAACGCAATCGCGCCATTACGATGCTAATGACTGTCCCGATACGATGGCTACCATCTCTCTCTCTGTACGAGCCATAGCCAAGCTCTAGAGCTTCACTAGCTGATTATCTTTCCGCGTACACACAGGCAGAGACGCACGCACAAAGTCGACCGCTTATATTCCCACAGATACTACGCTGCCAACACGGTTTCACTGCCACGCGAAGTCGAGCAGATTTGGGGATGCGGAGGGCCGTTGAACGGAGCTTGCGCCCTACACCATTTCTGCACGGTGACACGTCTCGATCCGGAGTCCTACAAGAAGTGTTACACGTCGTACGCGTACGCACTTGCCTCAGACGGTCGTCCATCCACGCCGAGGCTCTACTTCTCGTTACACCTGCTCGTTCTACTGGTCTGCGCGGAATTGCTGAGGAACCGGTAGGTTGGGACTCCGCGGTGTTCCAGCGAAGGGGACGGCTGCGAGACGAGCGAGTGGAACGTAAGCTCTCCCCCGGTGCCTCCGTCGCGTTAACGACGCGAGCGAGCGAATCAGAGACGAGCTGCTTCGAGAAGGCGTGTTTGAGAATCGGCGAGATTTTTTCTAAAAAGGAAAGAAAGGAACGGAAAGGAAATTTTCACGGAATCGCTGATACCCGCGTTGTCGTAGCACGCGTTTGTGGGAACGGGGAATGGAGGAAGGGAGCGTCGGTACGCGTCGCAGCGAGCAATCCACTTTGTGTCTCTCTCTCTCTCTCACACACTGTCTGTCTCTTTGTCCGCGTCTTCTCTCTGTGCCGTGTCAAGCGAAGGGTTCGGACGTCACGGGTGAAACGGGGAGAGATCCCCGATCTCGCGTCACACGACGCGCGCGTTCCGCGGGGGAATTCGTACGTCGGGCCGGAAACGAGCGTTCACGTTGAAGCACGCCCGGGATTATTCCAGTGTGAAGCCCGGGATCGGAAGTTGCCCGGAGCTTGGTGCATGCAGACAGACCGAGTCGATCGTTTAATTACTCGGTCGGAGAAAATTTCACGGTCCCCGGCGCGATTGGCATCCGGTCGCGGTGGTAGCGAGAGTGGTTCTCGATCAGAAGAGGAGGGGACGGTTTTGTTCGCAGCCTGAAACACGACCGCTGAAACGATAGAGAAAGGGGGAGATATGGTATCGTTGTCTCTCGGATCGGGATGCGAAACGGGCGATTTAACGAAATACAGAAATGAAAGGAAAAGAAAAAAATGAATAAAAAAAAATAACAAAAAAAAAAAAATACAATGAAACTTTGATGTTGTACTTGCTTCTCTTAAGCGTTCGGTGTACGTTGTTTTAACACGAGAGAATCATATTTATTGGGGCGCGGCGCGTGCCTAGAATCGACCGCGGAGCACGAGCAACGACGTACGTAATGGAGAGCGGCGAATTTACGCGATGCATGAAACGCACGATCGATCCCGTGAGCTGCTAACTATGGCCTGGTGCAGACGAGGGACACCCGGCGGTGTCACAGAGGAGAGACGCGACACCCGTAGACGGACAATTGCCGGATTCGCAACGATTCGCGGTGATATGGAGAGCGCGCGAGCGCGTTTCTTTTCTGCACGTTTCGTTGCTAGTCTGTGCTTTGCGCTCGTATACGTTTAACCGTTTCATCCTGACACCATTTGTACGGTAGGTGAAGGTTCTTCCTCGTCTCGTCTGCACCGAGCCGAAAATTCTTCGGTGACGTCGCGCGGCTTCGATCCAACGTCGACGACTCTGAGACGACTGCGTCGAAGCGTTCATAGCTTGAAGAGCCATTATATTCGTACCACCATTTCACGATTGTCGGAACAATACAGTATTTCTTAATAAATGAGTCATGGATTTGTAACTATTAGTGCTGAGTTATTTCAATCCCGTCATCCACACGCGACTCCGATATTCCAACGAGTTGAAGCTGCATGCATGAAGCTTCGAATATCTCGACAACTATGCGTTTTTCGACGTATGTTTGTATGAACTTTTTTTCTTGTTTAGATACGTAGAACCTGTGTGCCAATTTTTGCCAAAATGTTTTGGGACACCCGGTATATTGATTTGTGTCTTTATAGTACATCTCTATATTTTCATAGGTGTATAAGTATTTTCGTATACAATTTTGATTCGATTACTACTTTTATTTGTTTCTACGTGGATTTTAGTAACACGAGGATGGAAATTTTATATTGTTCTAAAAGTACTTCCTTTAAGAGTGCAATTGAAGTTTCTCTCTTTTTAAAATTACAAGGTAAATATTACTAAAAATTTTATATTCACTGACGCATCACGTTATTTTCTAAGCACTATTCTTTAATCGAAATGAAATTCCCTCTTCCTGCATTGCAGATATTAAATATAAGGCAAAAAAAGAGAATAATTTTTATTTAAATTTCGAATTCTGCGTGCAGCGGCGTTGTTGTTTTCCAGAAAATAAATAATTCTGGGATATTGAATTTTCATTAATATTCGACCAAGTGTCTAGTTTCATATTTTTGTGCTCGTGTAAATAATAAAAGGTATTATTTCACGTGTGAATTATCGAACGTTGCATCCGCGTACATGTATGCAGAATTTCAATTGAAAAAAAGGATAAATGTCTGCAGCGCTCTTTCGCTGTAATAACTTTTATCTTCATTCAGAGAAGAGCTACGTTCCTTTACAGTTTCTGGAATCACCCTGTATATCAACAAGAGGAACATCCTAAAAGTCAGACCCTAAAGTTACAGAGGGTGATCATGGTACCATAAATAGCAGTAAGAATAATGACGAGTCGACTTCGATGGCGCCGCTGCCATCCTCAGATGATTTGCTAGTGTTCATTTTCAGGGAGAATGTATTGCGATCTGTTAGCCCAGAAAAATTGAGGAACGATCTCTGGGTATCGATCTTCATTTTCCGACTTTCTCGGAAATATTGCGCGTTTTACGTACAGATTTTCACGAATTATTAGATTTCTCTCTGGCGGGGAGAAATGTGTACTATTAATCGCAGAATAAGGCGAACCGGAGACTTGAATTCGGTTTTGTAAGAAACAAGTGTACTTTTCTCTCCTTCTTCGTTTAATCTAGAATCGTTCGAAATTAAATTGTTGCGACCTCATTAGGGCGCAACGGAGCCTCGATTTGGCGGATTATGACAATAAACAGTTTAGTCACATTTGTCCGCCAGACCGAGGTGCCGACGTTCGGCAGACCGCGATACGCCCCCCGTGGACGCACCGGCGCGACACTCAGACAATAGGTCCCAAAACACTTGGGACCATAAAACATTCGTTACCCAGAAATCACATCTTTCGTCGACCAATAGTAAAATATGCCACATTTTCCACCTCCATAACACAACAACCAATCAGAACCAACACAGCGTCTATATATACACTTACACACCAGCGAAACACGAATCATTGTTAGACCAGTGAACAATATACGTCGTCACAAAGCTCGCCCGAGAGTCTCGTAACACATCACATCAGAGTCGATCGAGAGTCACCTTCCAAGTTTCAATACGGTCATCCGGATTAATTTCCCGGTGACCAGCGTCTTGAGCGACGGTCGCGAGCGGGCGTAAGCAGGATTTACGACCCTGCGAAATTCACTGAAGAATTGCGGAGCAAGGGACGCAACATAGATAGTATACATTTTCCACTATTTTATAAAAATACATTGTTTAATCCTCGACAGGTATGTCAGCCGCCCGACCCTTAGATTTCTTAGCATGTAGTTCTATTGTATATATTTTTCGCCTTCGCTCGTTTCGTAGCAGCGGTAATTTTATGACGCCACGGCAATCGTAGTCTTTCAATCTAAGAACTTGCTTTCACCTTTTATTGTTTCGTTTTCGACTTTGAATCTTCGCCCCTTTTTTCACTTGTACATTTTTGCATTCATATGGTCACCAGAGCCGAAGCGCGTCTTAACGTTATTGTCTGCTACGGTCATTGTTCGAGGCACTCGGAATTCCGTCAGGTACGCTTGGTACCTGAGAGTGACCTA